CGTCATTCGGTTCACTAGTAACTGCAAACTATAATGTTGTCGATTACTAATGTTACCATAGCACCTAATTTGAGTTTGGTCGTAACTGATCAAATTAATTTGGTTAACTGAAACCAAGCACTTCGATTTGGTTTACCAAGCAAAACGATTTGGTTTACTGATGTAACTGCAAATTACAATGTTGTCGCTTCTATCTCTTGCGATAGAGTTTTGTATCTCTATGTATGGGCTATTTTGTTTTGCAGAAAATCTTTCCTTCGCCTTAGCATTTGGCCGTAATCATGATGGTTTCTCGGACGCTGTATTTGGGGGAAGTATTCTCCTCTTTCTCTCTATCGGAGTCAGTATCGTGTCTTTTTGCTCCTTGGAGCTTTCATAGAGCTACACATCTAGTGGCAAAAAAAGCTCTTTCATCGGGAGTTCGGTTGCATACGGACTACCGTTTTTTTATTGTTGTCTGTCTTCTATATTTGTTGTCCGGCCATGCCCTTGGGGCTTATCTTGGATATAAAAATAAAATAAAAAACTAATTGTTATACTCTTTTTCAATCAAGAGTTTGGAAATATCTAATCAGAAACATTTCAAGGATATGATTAACATATTATGTGTTCCGTAGAAGGGGTTGTGACGGGACAGGTTACGATGATTACTATAAAAGTAGTAATCACCATGGTTACTAAGGGTAAATTGGGTATGAAAAATAAATTGTATTAATTAATTTTTTAATAAATTACATTTTAAGTAGTTACAAGAATCTATTAATTACAATTCTCTCTCTTTCTCTCACTTCCATAATCTCCAACCAGATCCTCTTTCCTTATTTTTCTCAATCTTTCTGCAAAAGAAAAAAAAACACGAAATCACTACCAATCCATTAGACAACCACTACCACTTTGAAAAATATCAATATCATTGCAAAAATAAATCTATACCATTACACGAAAACTAACAATATAAACAATCTACCAATATAAATCTATACCATTTCACAAAAAAAACAATACCATTGCAAATTTAATCAATCCCTGATAGACCCGGTATTCAACCGACATCATACAATACTATGCACCAAATTTACTGGGATTAACTTACCAACCACGAATATGATTTTATCATGCCATCTACTGCTCACATACAGGTGGTAGAACCAAGGCAATGTACAATTGTCTCTTCAAGTAATTAATCCTTTCCCATGGGTGGTATTATTTGTTTCTAATACACACCAACAAAACCACCACAATTCCTTCCACGTGGCAACATGAAAATGATGGTGGTGGCAAGGTTACCATTTCTCTTTGCTGGTTTGAGTAAATGTGTTGTAGCAATTACCACCCACTAATCCATATACATGAGCTGGACTTGGATGCAAGAAATTTGCATCACTTCTTACCACTCTTACTTGGTGCAGGGGTGATGGGAGCAATTCTATGTCACGTATTGATAGAGTTTTTGCTTCCTCGGACTTCAACAACTTGTTCCCAAATTGTTCTTTGATGGCTCTTGAACGCGTGGAGTCGGACCATAACCCGTTGCTTATCAGATGGGGAGACCAAGGGAGAGTCAAAAGACCATGGAAGTTTGAAATCATGTGGCTTCATGATGATAGGTTCTTTGTGGAAATGGAAACGTGGATGAGGACGGTTATTGAAGGTAGAGGGGCAGCCTTTCGGTGGTGTAAGAGAATGCAGAATTTGAAAGGTTTAATTAAGGAATGGAATAAGAGGGTCTTCGGGAATGTTAATACTCAGATTGAGGAAGCTCTGGCCAGAATTAAAGAGCTGGACTCATCCGAGGAGGGCAGATTACTGATTGATAATGAGGTGAGGGAGAGACAGGAACTCAAAGTGGAGGTGAGTAGACTTCTTTTTCTTCAGGAAATTTCTTGGAAGCAGAAAGCAAAGGAACACTGGCTGAAGTTTGGGGATGATAATACGAGATTCTTTCATGTGATGGCCAACTTTAAGAAGAAATTTAACATGGTTGATTGTTTGTACATTCATGGGGTGAGGTTCGAAGGCAGGGAGGATGTGGCTAAAGGGGTGGTCGACTTTTATGTCTCCTTCTGCAAGGAAACTGTTGTTAAGCGCCCATTTCCAAGAGATTTTGGGGTGACAAGTTTGAGTGATGCCGAAGCTAATACTCTTGTGCTCAATTTCTCGGAAAGCGAGGTTTTGGAAAGTCTGAGGGATAGTGATGGGTGGAAAGCTCCGGGGCCTGATGGCTTCTCGTGGGAGTTCTATAAGAAGTGCTGGGATCTGATTCGTATTGAGGTGCTACAGGCTTTGAACGAGTTCCACGAGTCGGGCTCTCTTCCGATGTGCGCCACACACTCGTTTTTGTGCCTAGTCCCAAAGAGAGATGCGGTGGAGGACATTAAGGACCTTAGGCCTATTAGTTTGATGGGAAGCCTAAACAAACTAATTAGTAAGATTTTGGCGAGAAGGCTTAGCATGGTGCTCCCAAAACTTGTTTCTTCTTCTCAACAAGCTTCGGTTCGGGGTAGACAGATCTCGGAGGCAGGCCTCATTGCTTTTGAACTCTTGGACAGCAGGAAGAAAAGTCGGAAACCGGGATTAATGTTTAAGCTGGATATCGAGAGGGCGTTTGATAATGTCAGTTGGAGTTGTTTGTTTAGAGTTCTCTTTGCCATGGGGTTTCCAAGGAAATGGGGTGAGTGGATCCGTGGGACGATGTGCTCGCCGGTAATCTCGACTATTATTAATGGGGAAGCCAAAGGGTTCTTTAAATCTGAGAAGGGTCTTCGTCAGGGAGACCCGTTATCGCCGGGTCTGTTCGTGCTGGTTATGGAGCTGCTCTCGTTTATGCTGTCCAAGCTTAAAGAGGAAGGCAAAATCAGGGGTTTTTGTATGGATGAGCTAAGAGGGAGTGGTGAGGTCACCCATTTACTGTTCGCTGATGATACGCTGATCCTTTGTGATGCTTCCACGGATCAAGTGCTTAACATCCTGGCTACCCTTGTTTGCTTCCAAGCCATCACAGGGCTTAAAATCAATCTTGAAAAATCGGTGATGATCGCTGTTGGGGATGTTCCTAACCCGGAGTATTTTGCTGCTGTGTTTGGTTGTAATTGGACTACTGATGTCACTAAGTACCTGGGGTTTCCTCTTGGAGCTAAGGTTAATTCGAGTGCCATTTGGGATCCTATCATTGAGAAATTTGAAAAGCGTTTAGCAGGATGGAAAGGCAAGTATCTCTCACTTGGCGGTCGCTTGGTTCTGAATAATGCAGTTTTGGGAAGCCAACCAGTTTATTATTTCTCTTTGTTCCAAGCCCCTAGAGGAGTAGTTAAGAAAATGGAAAGAATTCAGAAACGATTTATTTGGTGCGGGGCTAGAGAAGAGTGGAAAATCCCTCTTGTTAAATGGGATTTGTGTAAAGCATTAAAAGAGAAGGGGGGACTTGGAGTGAAGGATTTAAGTTGCTTCAATCAGGCACTCCTATCTAAGTGGCTATGGAAGTATGCTAATGACAGAGGTAGTTGGTGGCGGGAGCTGATCTCCATTAAATTCCCCTCTGATTCGGAATGGCATAGTAAAAGATGTAGAAACGGATACGGAGGGTCGGTTTGGGCTAACATTACAAAAGCCTATGACTCCTTCTGGAAAGTTTGCCATATTGATCCAGGGAGTGGTGCTTGGGTTTCCTTTTGGAAAGATTGCTGGATTCCAAACCTTATCTTGGCCGAAACCTTCCCAAGAGTTGCTGCTGCCGCCGCCATGCCGGATGCCCGTGTGTCGGACCTTGCCAGCAATACAGGTACGCACACAGAATGGAATATTGAATTTAATATCACCTTGAGAGGGGGCGCTGAGAGAGAGAGATCAAACTTGTATAATCTTATCTTTTCTGAGGCTTCTAATATTGCCCCGTTCGGGCCAAGTAAGCTGGTCTGGTCGACGAATCCAGATTGTAGGCTTTCTGTTTGTCTTTTGTACAGGCACTGGATTAGCAGAAGCTGCCCTGGCGTGCCTGACTTTCCATATGATTCTGTTTGGCGTGGCGAAGTTCCTACCAAGATTCGAGCCTTCATGTGGTTGGTGGCGCACAACAAAATACTTACCCTCGATAATCTGCAGAAGAGAGGATGGGCCTTGGCCAATAGATGCTCTTTGTGCTACAACTCGGAGGAAACCAGTAACCATTTGTTCGTTGAATGTCCTTACACCATGCAAGTTTGGAGTGAGATGGGAAGAAGATGTAGCAATCTGATCATGCCTGGAAGCGACATCCTAACAACCATTAGGAGATGGGACAGCAATAAACCAGAGAATATAAATGATTGGGTCTTGTATGGTGCTCTACATGTGATTTGTTGGCAGGTCTGGAGGGAAAGAAACCAGCGAATCTTTAGAGATCAAGCTCTCAGTTCTGCTACTGTTTTCAAGAAGTCATTGGCCTCAATTTTGGAAGGGCTGGCTGCCCATGGTAGGATCTGCAGGGAGCAAGTGAGGGATTGGATGGAAGGCATGGAATCTAGTTAGGCTGTTGCTTTTTGTTTTTCTTTATCTCTTTGGTGCCGCTGCAGTTGCTGTAGGTTGAGGTGGGATGAGCTGCTGGGTTTGTTCTGGTGCCTTGTCCCCCGTTTCCCCTTTGTGTTTTCCTTTTCGGTTGGGGGCTGTTTCCCCTGGGACGGTTCGGTTTTTCTTTTTTTTCTTTTGTACTGGTGGGCTGGGAGTTTGCACCTCTTGTGCAATTCTCTAGCTCGTGTCCTTCCTTCCTTCTTCTTAATGCATCTTTCACCTTCATCAAAAAAAAAACCATTGTGGTAGTTTGTCATTATCATCTATTTTATCCACCCAAGCCACCAAATCCCAAATCCCTTTTTGTCCTAGGTACTACACGTGGACAGGGAGAAGAGGAAGGTAAATGGTTTGGTTCATATGTTCTTTTTTGTGCCACCAAATAAGTTAATGGAGGTAATAAGTTTGTTTGAAATATGTTTGTGTTACTCACGCCAACCATTGCACATTAGGTTGGTGGTGAGATAAAGGATTTTTTTATATTATTTTATTTATCACACGCCATCCACACCAGAAGCATGAGGCACCTATAAATAGGACGCTCATTTATGCTTTCTCGGCAGTACATTCTCGATTTGAACTTCTAAAACTCTCTCTAGAGCCGGCTTACTATGCCACTCCCATTTACTCTCCTCTCAAATACCGACTTGAGCTTAGGAGCAGGTCTCCGCCGACCACCGCCGGCGGGTCCTTTTGTTTTGCAGGTGTCCATCTCGGAGGGTGGTGGCAGACGTTGGCCAGGAAGATCGGCGCTCACTAGACCTCAAACACATTGAAGCAGGCTCCTCGGAGCTTGGCATCAACAATACCAATGCGACAAAAACAAAATTATACCATTTCATAAAAGGCCCTCTCATCGGGAGTTCGACTATTGGTCGACTCCCGCGCTCTTTTTATTTTCTCTGTATGTCTGATTTCATAACAACTGACTTTGCGAAAAAAAAAAACAAAATAAATAAAAAAGTACCAAAACAAAACTATACCAAAGCAATTGAAAGAGTACCATTCCATTTGGGCTTTCTTCTTATGATTATGATGTCTGCAGAGTAACCTTTCCAGCCATCGCGAGAGGCCAACGGGGAGAGAGAGAGAGAGTACTTGGCCTCCAATTTGGTCGATCTTAGCGGTGGGTACAACGGCCAGACGCGACGGGAACGGCGGCGTAGCCTGGCAGGAAGAGGGAGGGAGGTGGGAGTTGAGAGAGAGGGGTTGGCCGATCTTAGCGGTGGAGGCAAGGGCAGAGGCGATGAGGATGGCGGCGTAACCTAGCAGGGAGAGGGAGGGAGGTGGGACGCGAGAGAGATGGAGAATATGGTTGCAGTAGGGTTTTGATAAAATATATAGAAATTAATTTTGTTAAGGATAGTAATCAGATGTGATATAATTTTTGTTTCCAAAACTATTCTTAATCTAATCTTGATCGTCAATTTAAAAATAAGATAAAATAAAGCTAATGAAGGGTGTAAATAGCCACAGTGGCTACTAAAAATGTAATAATCACCCTAACTCATTCCGATTGTGACTTATGGGGGTTCATGTAATAGTAGGTTACACCGTTTGAATTGTGTATTCATGATGAGACCCATATAATTTAACATGATAACATTAATTCTCAAGTTATATTATGCACCAATAACATGACATTTCATCCAAAATGAAACAAGAAGAACTATATGAGATATAACATAATGCAAGAATTAGAGGGTACATTATAGCAGCATGAACTAGCATTAGATTGCTATGATAAACCTCTGCAAGGAGGTGGAGTTTCGGTGATAGGTAGATACACGGAGAAGAGCAAAGAGGCCGAACAAAGAAGCATTCTTGTTGATACAAATCCCCTTCCACAAGTACACAAACTAGAAAGCACAATCCGCTTTCACATTGCTACAGATATCCGAGTGCCATTATATATACAGATACATTGAAACTAAAGGAACATGCATGACAAGAGTCGATCTTTATGACCCTCTAATATCTAAGGCGTACGTTGTCTTGCAAATTCCATCTTCCTTACAGTTCATACCCCAATTGACCGGATGAAGGAAGCAGTTCTCTGAAGCAACTTCTGCAAGAGGAAAGAGCAGATTAGCTCGAAGATCCACACCAGGAAAGCGAAAAGCAAGCCGAAACAATGAATAGAGCAAAAACTCAAACACACACAGAATACAAGCATATAAAGATCAGACATAGTGGACGGAATCTCGGCACACAAAAGAACAGGAAGCAGCGGTTTTCGGATTAATTCACCAACTGTCCATACATATACCAACTTGGAAAACCATCATCAGGCATTAGCTGCCTTAGTGTAGCTACACAGGTGTTTCTGTTGTCAGACATCTTCATCACCATCACGTTGCAGTTAAGTGATAGAAAAGCTTTTTGTTATAACTTTCAGATTCTGCATGCTAAAGTTATTATAAACCCTCCTCAAAGTACTTGCATGATCAATGAAAGTTAGTGAGGAGATAGACAGTGGCTTGAAGTAGTTTCAATTTCAAGGATATACCGACGAAAATAAGTGTATAGACAACGGGAGGAAAAGGCATAGCTAAAAGCTCAGAAAACGATATATCTCTGTCCACTTTCCGTTAATGAGATTCACAGGACACCATAACAGATTTCATACTTCCTTTATAACCAAGGATATCATTGAAATGAAAGGCTCAGAATCACTATCATGTCCATCAATCAGAAACCCTTGAAATTAACAGCTTGCGCCAAAACTAACCGTCTACGAGTACAACCATCAGGCAGAGGAACATTCAGCTTCCAAATGACATTGACACCATATCTAGGAACCATTTAGGCACACAAATTCATCTCATAATCATTTCAGTAAGGATTACCAATGGCATCTGCATATGCTTTATTCCCTGGGAACAATCATTCAGCAACATACGTAATGAACCATATGCACCAATAATCGACTAAGAAATTGCGAAAGCGACACACCACAGCAACAAAAACAATGCAGATGATAATAAGGAATTGAATAGTGGAGATGCTCCAATGAACCGTCCAATTCCTCTTTTGGCAAGCATAAAAGCCAAATCATGGAACTTTTTAAGCATAAAGCAGATCACTTTCGAAAAACACCACTTCAGTTGGGATAATCCAAGTATTTCGTAAAGGCAAACGGATCCATTATCAAATTCACCATCCAATTGAACTCCAAAGCTATACAAAAGATTACGGGGAAAAGCAAACCAAAAAAAAATTCGATACCCTAACCAGTAACCACTTTCAAATTTTAAAATTAGGTCAAAATTTGGGGACAACATTCGAACCTTTTCACGAAGACGAGCGCTTGCCCTCGCACTCAAGACTCTCGTCAAAGTTCTTGGACGGGTACTTAGCCGTCACCATCCCGACCTCGAACACCAATTCGCCGTCGCCGGACCTGATTCCGGTGATCGACCACCACTTGAAGAAGGCCCTGACACGGATCCCGTCGAGCTCGGCGATCCGGCCCTGGGCGATCTTGCCTTTAACGGTCTTGGAGTAGGTGGCGAGGTAGTTGTCTGGCGGGAGGGTGATCTTGCAGGAGGAGCCGAAGTCGAGGGAGAACTCACCGGAGGTGTGGTTGAGGGAGTAGGACTGGACGGAGGAAGGGAGGAGGCCGATTGGGAAGCCGTAGGTGGTGAGCTCAGCGTGGGCTTGGGTCGGAGGGACGGGTTTCGGGTTCGGGTCGGATAGGGCGGAGAGCGGGAGGATAAGGAAGAGAGAGAAGAGAGCGAGGAGTCCGGCCATGGCGTCTGACTGAGATTCGGCGCTTTTCGGTGGACTGGCCTTTCCCCAAGGAGGTTTTGGTTGGATGTTTCGGCGAAGATAAAACGCACATTGTTACGTCGTTTTACGTATGGGGCCCACGTTATTCGCTAATGATTATTATTGTATTAAAACTAGGGATGGCAACAAAACCCGAACCCACGGGTACCCACCCGACCCAACCCGGTCAACGCGGGTAAAATCCGTGTTGACGGGTTTTGGGTCGGGTTTGGGTTTAAGCCCGTTCACTATTTACCGGGTTGGGTTTGGGTTTAGGTAAACCCGACCCGTGGGTACCCGCCCACCCATATAATTAATTTTTTTGGTATATTTAATATTCTAAACAACTAATCTTATTTATGTTTGTGGAGACATGTCTAATTTTTTCTTTTTGATTGTGTAGAATGAAGTTGATGTTATGGAGTGGAGAGTAAAGAAACTTAATTGAAAGGAAGAAGCTTTCAATTAAACATGTTATTTATGGATAATTTGTGATTTGCTTCAATTTTCTTGAGTTTTCTAGATTGGTGTTGAACAATTTATATAGTTAATTTGTGATTTGCTTGAATTTTCTAGAATGGTGTTTTATATATGGATAATTTGTATTGAGAGATTGATATTTGACTTTAATTTTGATAAAAACTTGTAATTGTAATTTTTTTACGACAAAACCCGTGGGTACCCATGAACCCGCGGATACCCAACGGGTTGGGTTGGGTTTGAGTTTTTCAAACCCAGTGGGTTTTACCCCGGGTTTTTTTCAAAGATAAACCCATGGGTTTGGGTTTGGGTTTGGCAAAACCCGACCCAACCCGACCCATTGCCATCCCTAATTAAAACCGCTAATCGTTCAATAATCAATGATGGAAAAACCCCTTATCCTAGTGATGGTTAGTTCTGAAATCTTTTATCGAAGACTAAATCGATAGATAATATTTAACGGCGGTTAAATTATGGTTTCAGTATAAAATATTTTATCGCTGACTTTTTTCAGACAGCCTCCCATACGAGTTTACAGAGCATTAACTTGTTAATTAGTCAAAATTAAATAGAGAGAAATTAGTAAAATACGGAATCTACATAATTTCTCGATGATCAAGACTAGTATATACGATATAGTTGAAAATTTTCGAGCTACTGTTCTTAATTTTAGTTGTGTTACCTAGCTAAAGTTGACTAACGAGTTGGGTTAAACGAAATGTTATCGACTCATCTGAAAATGTATGGAAGCCCGCATTTAACGAAAGTTGGGTGGAAAACTGCCTCATTGGAGGCCCACATTTCACAGCAATCGAATGGAGGAACACATGTATAGGTGAAAATTATTATTATGCGATGAAAGGACAAATGTAAATCCAAATCAAGAATTTTAAAATCATATAGAATGTTGCACTAAATTTTTATTTTATTTTTACATAAGGATCTTTATTGTACTTTGAAAGATTGGTTACAAAGAGAAAATAAAACCTTGACTCAACACAAGATCAAGATAACACAGGAACAGAGAATGACATTAAACTATGTCTGGGAAAATACAACAAAGGGGAAGCAAGGCACATATTAGTATTAGAGTATTTCGTGCTAAAATTGACTTTTCATCTGTAATACAATATTTTCATACTACTTACCAATGCTAGTTTAAATAGTAGCACTTTGAAATCTTTGCATGGGTGAGTTTGACGTTCGCCCTTAAGATTTTATTTACGTGATCATAGATTTGCAGCCGCTTAGAAAGTTGTGCTAAAGGTGAGCAAAGGTATGTAGGCCAGTTTGGGCCCACGAGCTGAATGCGAGCCTGTAATGGGCCCGTCAATAAGTAGTTCAACAAGCTGTTCTGAAAGCCTTGTTTGGGCCCATTGCCAACTGAAAACACTTCTGCAGATTGCAGCCTGCATTTTCTGTTCACCAAGTGGGATTGGCCTACTGTCCTGAGAAATATAATGGTGTGGGTCTGGGAGGGAGTTCTTGTTCACCAAATGGGATTAGTTCACTATGAACGTTGGGATTCTAAGAAGTTTTAAAAGATAAAATACATACGCATAAATAAAACACTTATTAAATAATATATTTTCTAATTATGGTTATCACAGACTTTCAAGTTTCAATACAATCTCCTTTATCTTTTGTTAGAACGTTCACTCTTCAATTTATTATCGCATATGGATTCGCTCCATCTTCACATTCTTTCTAAAAACTCAATCAGACGACATATATATAGGTTAAAATGAAAAAAAAAATAACTCCGAGCTTTTCCTCCCTCTTCACATCGAGGTTTTAATGGGACTCGAGATAGAAAAAGAGTGCAATATGTTAAACTTTTTTTGGGTACAAAGCGAAAAACGTGTTAGTTCATATTCGAAACGAGACGAAATGGTAACGATAAAGATTCTATGACTATGACAATGCCATAACAAACACAAATTCCATTCCACTGATTGATGAATTTTACATAATGGGATTATGGATGCATTTACAAGAGGAAACATTTCTATCATAGATATATATAGAGAGAGCATAATTATATATAGGACTTGCCTCCTCCCCTTGCGATTAACAACAAAATGGGAATTGGAGGGAAGGCTAATTAATGAATGATTAAGAGGAGATTACTATGGAGATTACATCCAAAGCTGAGCATTCTTGACCTTGGATACACTAGCCAACACTTCATAAGGAAGAATGTCTCCAATCACCACCACTCTCTTGCTTTCAAGGTCTACTTTGTATGAGCTCACTCCTGCAAGCATATACAAACATTATCATATATATGTTAATCAACTTTTTTTTTTAATTAAGACCTTGTTACCTAATTGTTAACCATGTGGGAATATGTCGTTTAGGAATATTAATAGGGGTTTACTATGCTCCCATGACTCAGAAAAGGCACAATAACTAGGGATGCCAATTGGGTGGGCTGGTACCTCAAGACTCATACTTAGTCCGTCTAAACCTCTAAGGTCATGTATTACCTGTGCGGTTGCTCCGGCTCATTTTTATTGATTATTAAAAAAATTATTTTTAACGATAACAAAGAGAAAATAGTTCATAAATGAAAATGAAATACAATAGTTAGATTGAGTGAGTTCAATTAGTTGAAAGATGAAGTGTTATGCTTATAAAGTATCACTCGGTGATAATATGAGTTAAGATCGGTCAAAATAGAGAAATAAAGATAGATACTGAGACAAATCTTGGCAAAACTGGTCAAGAACAGGAAAGGCAAGGGCAAAAATAGCACTCACACCTCGCCTCACGTTGCTGAAATCAAATATTACCCTTCTTAACACGGATCAGATCAAATGATACTCAACGGAACACGTCGAAATTTAAATTGTCATCACTAACAATCACATCATAATAACAATAGTGTAGTCTGCACTATGCTACTATTTCACTATTCTACCTTTTTTTTGTTTTCTTCATTTGATGGATTAGGGTATGATAAATTAAGAAAAATGAGTTTTTTAATAGTTTTATTTCTGGGTTTGATAGATGAATGCATTTCTTAGGTCAGCTAGTTCGTGGAGGGGTGATTGTACAAATCGTATTGTATTCTTTTAAGGTTACACGAATTTTATTGAGTCAAATTATTTTATGGGGTGTGTGATTAGGAAAACCAATGAGCACTTTGATTTAACCAAGAAAATTGGAACTTAGTATGGGATGAGATGTGGGAGACTGAGACACATACTATAGAGAACATAAAAGCATGGAGATTGAAACTTTTGAGTGCATATAGCTAAAGTGTCTTTCTTAGAATATACTTATTAAATCTATAATGGTAGATTCATGTCTGAATGTCATTTTGACCTTATAAACGATTGTGAGAATAGATTATTTGTGTGTACAATTACTTAAAAACTTTTATTTAGAATTATCACATTAGTCACTCATTAGAAATTTCTAGATTCACCTTCCAATAAAATTTTGTAAATCTACATGAATCGACAATAATTAGTTAATCATTTTGAACGATTTGATCTATAACAAAGACAAGAAGAAGAAAGAAAGAAATCATATTTTTTTCGAAGAACTTGGAATGATCAATCAGTTGATGACTCACCATCAATCCTGGAAACATGCTTCTCAACCTTCTTGGCGCAGCCACTGCAATGCATGGATACCCTCAGAATCACCATCTGCAAACACAACAATCAATCAAACACACAACTCAAGAATCATGAACAGGAAAGCGAAGACAAGAGAAGAGAAGAGGTTTTCTTACCTTGGGCTTGAGTTGAAATGCCAGAGTTTGATTCGGGTTAACGGAGACAACATCTTTGAGTCTCACCACTTTGCTGCTGTTCTTCTCAACACTCCCCAACATCAACGGCGCCTTCTGCTCAAACACTTCCCCCAAATCATCATCGTCACCAGCCTCCATGAATTTCGTGCAGAAGCAGGAGTTTGAGCTCGGCGATGACGATGGAGATAAGCAGAGCCTGTCGAACACCTTCCCAAAACCCATCAGCTTCCCCATGGATGGATATCTGAATATTGCCTTTCCCTTTTTCTTCACTTCCCCTGCCTCTCCCAAAAACAGAGTAAACAGAGCACGAAGCCTACCCTGTTATCACAAAATTGTGAGATCAGATCTAGCAGTTGTTTATTTATAAGATGTATTAAAGTTTCAATCTTTTTAATCTACGGAGGGAAGAGAAGAGAGCAGAGTGGGAAGCCTTTGCTTGCACACTAGACAATGGAGTGAGGATTAAGCCAAACTATGTGGGAAGTGGGAATAAGAAGAAGGGGACAAAAGGACCACATGGAGATCACTCACTGGTCAACAAATTGCTTGAAAAGAAGAGCTGTGTAGTAACAGAAAAGGAGCTGTAAGGAATCCAAATGGCAGGGAGTGGATGTGGATGTAAAAGAGAGGGAGGGAGCACAAGAATGGTGCTTCTCTTCTTCTCTCTGCCACCTTAAATTCTGGAGGCAGGGTTGGGAGCAGAGGGTTTCATGTGGAAGGAGAAGGAGAAGTTTTTGAGTCCTTTAGTAGATGATAGCATGTGTCATGTGACCCCAAGTGAGAGCATTTTACAAAGAAGGATCACATATTTAAATACCTAGCTGTCAAGAATGAATGAATGGTATATGCCGATATATTGTTGATCAGTTTAGTAATCAGGTCGATTCTGAGAGATACGTACATTATCGTAGTGATAAAGTCGATTGTGATAGCATGTGTCATATGAGCTCAAGTGAGGGCGTTTTACAAAGAGGAGACATATTTGAATAACCTAGCTGGCAGGGAATGAATGAATGAATCAATGGTGTATTACTCGTATGTGGTCAATCGGTTTAGTAATTCGGTCAAGTGCGACATATGAGTACACCATCTTAGTTACTAGGTCGATCGAGTTTGATCGTCGGCAATTTTAATTTTTTGAGTTTCTTACTAAATCGGATGAGTTGATAGATTGATCCGATCGGAAGAGTGAGAATGGAAGGGATTAAGGAATATGCTTGGAGGGTTAACTAAAAAAAAGTTTATTGATAGATTGATTTTTTTATATATAACTTAAGTGGAAGAGTGGGAATGGAAGGGATTAAGGAATATGCTTGGAGGGTTAACTAAAAAGAAGTTTATGGCATGTGGTTGATAGCATTGAGGTAATATGTGGTAAATAAATATTGGAACATGTGATTTGTGGATAAGAATCTTTTAGTTTTTATTTTATCATGCCGGTGTTGAGGGGTTTTCTACCACCAAAATACTTTTGTAAGATTGTTTAGTAGATTAATGCAAGTGTTAAGCGGTAAGGGGGCAAGTACCAAAACTATGTGGGTTGTCTTAATTTCAATGGTTTTAGGTGGAATCTCTTGTCATTTGAATTTGTTATCTTCAAATTTGCTCGGCATTTTGAGAATAGCAATTGAATTTCAAAATGTAGATTGATAAGTCTGAAGTTTAAAATTATTGGCCTAATACCAGAAAAAGGCCTATAGTTTAAGTTTTCTGTCACTTGTACCCCTATGTTTATACTGCGTCAGTTATGTCCCAAAGTTTAAAGTCTCCATGTCAAAATTGTCCTCCGTCATTTTGTTGACCGTTAGACTTAACGGTTGACCAAACGACAGTCAAAGTCAATTTTACTGACTATGATGTGGCGCCAACATGTCACTTGGAAAATGCCATGTCATCAACAATAATCATTTAAAATTATTATGATATGTTTATTTTATTTCCTACTAATAATTTATTTGCTTATTTTCAATTAATAAATAAAAATACACCCATCATCTTCCCATCCAACTTCCGCCAAAGATTTCCTTCTCCTTCCTCGTCGTTGCTGCAAACCCTTCACCAAACGTGGCCACCGCCGCACCGGCTCGAGCTCAATCCATTATGAAAATAAACCGGCTTCTCCAATCAAACACGATTAAGGCTAACAGCATCCTAGATTTCAAATTCCAAACGGTAGTAACAGCAGAGTCTGCCAAGGAAAACAACTGCTCCAACAGCAAACCCCGCAGCTTTAGAGGTTCGTTTACGCCGCCGTCGGAGGCGAGCGACAGGAGGATTTCAATTTGGAGCTGACCATCGGGCTTGGTACTCCTCCTTCTCGTTCTCTAGCAACTACCCAGGCAATTTCCCCTCTTCTTCCTTCAGCTCCTTTCGTTCATTCCTCAATCCTCCATAGTGAACAGATCCTTCCACTCCACAAACTTCCCTCTGCCTTTTATTGTTCCTTCTCGCACAACGAACCCCAGATCGACGGCGCGACGAGACGCGGCGGTGCTGGCACGAGGAGAGGCGGTGGGGAGTGGTGCGACGAGATGCATCGGGAATGGAAACCCATATTTCTGAATCCCAATCAAACGATTCCTTTTTATTCTTCATGCAATCCCAAAAGCTTCCTGTAATCCACCTTTGGTAATCAACCCATTGAGCTCCTTCTGCTCCCGGAGCTGAATTGGAGCAGCGATGATGGCCCGACACGATCCTCTATTCCAATCGAACTCTTCCAGATATGATTAGGAGTTGGGGGTTGTCGATGGAGATAGTGGGGGAGGTTGCGGAAAGGTCGAGGGTCGAAGAGAGATGAAGAAAGTAAAGAAAAGTGATGCAGATGTCGAAGGTAGGTGAGGGGATTTTTGTTTGCCGGATAGGAACGGTGAGGTGGAAGATTGCGATGGCAAGGAAGAGGATTGCCGCCGTCAATGGCGAGGAGAAGAAAAGGGTCGTGACTCGTGAGAAGAAAGAGGGATAGGGGTAGAACTCTTTTTTAATCTTTTTTTTTTTTTTTTGGTTTTGTCAACTTTTGACAAAAATAATCTATGATGACATGGAAAAAAATAATTTTTTTTTATTGACATGTCATCGGTCAACTGTTGACCGTCAAAAATTAACAGAGCTGCTTAACGGAGACTAAACTTTGGGACATAACTGACGCAGTATAAACATAGGGGTACAAGTGACAAAAAACTTAAACTATAGGCCCTTTTCTGGTATTAGGCCAAAATTATTTTATACATTTTCGGTTTAATCCCTTTAAATTTTAACAATGTTCGCTTTGCATGAAGGAGAAAATAATGACAGGAAAGAGAACAGTTCGAGGTTAAAATGAAAAGCAAAAAGATCATTTTAATACGTGTATGAATGCCCATAACTCAGAGATAAGAACTCATTTTACTCATCCATTACCCATAACTCGGAACTAAATGAATTGGAGAGCGGATCATCATGTATGTTTGATAGAATGACTTGTCTCCATGTTCTTCCTAACTTTGAGAACTCAAAAAATTTCCTTCTATGTAAAGCTCGATGAGATCCGAAAGCATTACCTCATGCTACCATCGTTGTTTAAGGTACCTGACTTATTCGCCCTCCCCGCTCCTCTCCACTAGAAACACAGTTAAAAACGCGTAGTGAGATCCCGATATTAAAATCAATCCTTGTATTGAGAATCGTTCAATTCCATCACTTGATTTGGAAGAAAAAACAACTTTTACTAACTACTTATGGCCACACAAGAACAAGCCCCCAAAAATTTTCCACCTCAAGTTTCAGTATTTGATCGAGCTAGAGGCTAAAAGAGCCACTAGAGGCCAACACCGTTGGCAAGGCATAGATTGTAGGCATTTCCTAAGACCATCCAAAGACGGGCGCATGATGAGATCGGTCGAAGTTATGGGGAAGCCTTTTGTCTTGATGCGTTCGTATAATAGTGGAAAAATTGGCTCTGAATTATTGGGATGGCTACTAGTTCTAAGGCCTAAGCCTGGTTTGAAATGATTCAAAGGTTGAATAGTTCCTTTATTTTTCCTTACGGTGATGGGTCTTGTCTCAACAGCTTGTTCCATGTGGTGACGATCGGCTTTTCTTTGTAGGAATTGAGGCTAGTTTTGACAAGATAGCATTTGTTGTCATGTGTTAAAACCTTGAAAACCAAGTCACTTGTTTGGTTGTAGATCACAATGAGCAACTCCAAAGTATACAATAAATTTGCACGGTTGATTTCATTAATAAAACAATGAATTATAACCGGGAGACTAACTAATTAAAATTTTCCATATCACAAACAAGTTAACAAATGTCATTCTATTACATACGGAAAGAAGGCTAAGTTGGACTCAACATTTCAATCACAAATTGTACCGAGATTGTACTGCAAAATCATCAATAAATATTTTATATCAAAACTATAATTTAACAATAATTCAAACATTTCATATTAGCTTAAACTCCGATGGAATACGGTTTTTCAAATACTAATGTCAACACTTGACACAGCTAAATCATGTTGCGACACGTGCTGCTCACATGACCTGCCGAAAGAAATGAGAGACAAAAAACAGGCTCGGCTGGCCCTCAAATTGGGCAACTTTCACTTCCATTCATTCATGTGGAGCAACAGAAAGAGGGAATTCCTTCTTCCCTCACAGAGTAAAACAACAAAAACACCCAACGCAAATTCAGAGGCAATGTTTGTTTCTGGAAATCACAAGGCTGGCTGGATGCCAATTCCACGAATTTCTTCCTTTTCTTCTCTGGAATATTTTTTCTCTAGTGCCTGAAGTGTACTCTACTGACAAGCTGACAATGGTAAGTGTCACGTAAAATTGTATTAAAGAAGACAAGAACTGGCGACTTTATGTCACAGTCCCACACTGACTAGTGGAACTTTCATTTCTCAGATATTACCATCCCCACACCAATTATAGAACTGTCGTCTCCCCCATTCTAAATATTACAGGGGCCATTGCCTGTCCCCAAAATGTGCCTCAGTTTTCACTCTTCGCTGTCCATTTCGTGTCTGTTTGTGTTTCACATATTCAGCCACTCTTCTCCATTCCATATCCTAATTCATATTAGCCTTTGATACGAATTGGGTCAGATGAAAAAAACGTTTAAATACATATCTTACATTCTGAGAGAGTATAAATAACTTGATTTTTACCTTCGAAAATTTAGAGCCATACTGTTCTAATTTGATAGAGTATTGAAACAAGCTAATGAATCCGAATCATTTATGATCGAAATTCACGCTTACTATGAGAAATACGATAAACTCCTATTCTCGGTTATCCACGAGATAGCTAACAGAACATTCATCCACAAAAGGTCCAATCGAACCAGAGCAGACATCATTTATGAAGACAAACATGGAAACAGGGAGTCGATGCCGGTGGTTTTCAAGTTCTGAGACTTCCACAGTCAATGACTTGAAATTCACCTAATTCCATATGTACACATATACTATCCCAGTACAGATTTTGCTAAAGATTTTAATTAGAAGAGTACAGAAACTAACTAATGAATCAAAATTCACACCTATTATGAGATACAATAAACTCCTATTCTCGGTGATCCACCAATCAACTAACCTTCATCCACAAAAGTTTGAATCAAATCGGAGCAGATAGGTTTATAACATCATTCGCCATCACTAATCTCAAACACCCTTAAAAACAAATATTAATAAAAAAAAAAAAACATCCCAGCCTAGAGAAAACATTGGAACAGGGAGTCCATGCCTATCGTTTTCAAGTCCTGAGACCTCCACAGTCAATGACTTGAAAATGTACCTAATTTCCTATGTACACATATACTATCCCAGTCCAGATTTTTCTAAAGAGTTGTTGTGAGGTAGCATGCTACATGACATTCAGAACAGTTCATTCACTATGCATACAACATTATCCCAGTTTTTATAAGTTGCTGCAAAATTAAGCACCGCCCCTAAATATTAATTAACACAAAGTTCTAAAAGCAAGATGATGAGAGCTGAGAACGAACACAACAAATACAATGGGGTATGATGTTATCAGCCGGGGCCAAGGGCTCACCGACAAATTAAGTGAAGATAAGGATTTAAATATGTTAATGGCTTCTAAAAAAATTTGGTATGCAATAAACAAGATATATGAGACACCAGCTAGATGGCTTTCAATTTTTTTCCATACATTTTGAGGATGAGAAGTTAATACAAAACCCACACATGGTGTCAGCACAAATAATTAATACCCATCTATTGGCCAACTCATTTGATTATTGGCTTTTAAGAATAGCTGTTGTCCACAGAACACAAAGGGCTCTACAGTCTACAAGCTGACCATGTTATGGATTGGAAGTTTTCAACAGAGAAGCAGCCAAAGTTGAAGAGCGAGAGAGAGAGAGAGAACCAGAATGTTAAATGGCAAAGGTTAATCTATTCATTCATCTTATCAGTGACTGGTAAACAGCAAAACTATATGCTGCTTGGCAGCATATGGAAAGACATGCAGACGAGGCGATCAACAGAAATGAAGGAAGATACCTGAAATTGAGAGTTAGGGAGGTTGGTGCTTACAAAAGATTTCTGTATGGGAACTGGGAATAGGGAAGCCAATTTAGCTATCTTCATCTTCTTCAAAAGTGTCTGTAGATATCTGCACAAGCCTGAAATCACAAAATTTCCTCTCTGTAGGTACATAAAATGTGTAACCCTGAGTTCCTTTTTGATATCTAGTTGTCTGTGCACCAGCATTGTCAGAACCATTTGAGCTGCGACGATAACCAGCAAGTATCCTGTCATAAACAACGGATGTTTCGGATTAATGAATTGAAAAATGGGAGATCTAGATTTATTTTCTTACTACTGTGGGATTTGAGCACAAAATTTGTGAATCAGAAAAGACCTTAAAGATGTGTAGGTTTTCCAATTCCCATAACATTTAAAAATTGTCACATACTATTTTTCGGCAAGCTAAACATTAACTTTTGTACTAAATGATTCTAATGTAAAATATGGAAGCCAATCTTATATCCAAATCTCTCATCAAATACCCACGAAACTTCAATATCACTATTATCTTGGAAACTAGCAAGACATCATGTATAATCCAATTTTAAGAGCTCTCCGTCGTAGTCTGACTCAAAATTACCATTGTGAAGGGGGAAATGACGTGGGTCATTTTATGATTGCCACAAGATGAAGCAACCGACCACTATGATTAAATTTGAGAAGCTATAAAGAAGCAGGATTTAAGTCTTAACAAATTGGTTGCATATTGAAGAAGCAAAATGCATGTTCTATGTAAAATCATGCTGGTTCAAAGGACCAATTTCTGACCTGCTTACTCACTAATGCGGCTTTGATCTATTTGCTTCGATTGAAATTCATATTCGAATACCTGCAGAAGCAATACAGCGATGAGGGATCTAGATAAATCCGTAGTTTAAGCAACTCAAATGATTAACTTGCCTTTGAAGCTTGTGTCCTTCTCCACGTGTTGTATTTGGCATTTCTGCAATGCAAAGCTCCCGTGACAAATGGGAAAATAATAATCAAAATGTTTTTTGTTTTGAACATTCATGTACTGCAAATGCCACAAAACTAACCAGATCCATCCATAGGGTTGCTGCCCTCATGAGGTCTCACATTGTCTTCATTTCTGCATAAGGTTATTAATGGAACCAATGTGGAAACTATATTTCAGTAAGTGTTCAGTGATTTCCATAACACAGACAAGTATGAAAATTTACAAACCCAGTCATGCTTAGAGAAGATTCTGGGTCTGTTGAATAGGCACGGCCGTATTCTCCGGTGGTTGGTGTCGGATAGGTACAAGAAGGATGGGCAGAGCCTACACTTCCAGCATTAGTTGGCCAGACTTGCGTCCTGAAGGATGATAGATATTGTTGGAAAACAAATATGCCAGAGTGCTGATTCATAGACAGTTCTTTCTATCTTCACTATTGTAATCAAGCATACCTTGCCAAACCAGAGGCAGAACTCCCGAAACTCGGTTCAGCAGCATAATATCCAGGTGCATTAGCTGTTCCAATTTCTCCAAGCTCGCTAAGATGCTGACCCCTAACTTGGTTTACTGCATTTGTAGCATTTAAAAATTTTAAAACCAGAATGCTTTTTGTCAATGAGCAGCCTATCAAGCACATTTGGACATGAACTTTTGTTTACTGATAATCCACGCTACACACTTGTTTTCCCAACTCTTGCCACCATTCATCACTAACTAGAGCATGCAGCAGATAACTCTCAAGTCTACAAGCATCAGATGAGCACATTCATGCTACTGCAGGTAGTCTGCAACTACTATGGAGTTTACATTATGTAACAGGCAGCAAGGGCGGAAAGGAACGCACCAGGAAAGTGATTCACAGTGGTTGTGAAGTTCTGAATGGTATGGGTATCATCTCCAGAATAAGTTCTTCCACAGGTTCCATCAGCACCACTTTCTCTCCCAGCCATTGCAATCTCTGAGTTATCTAATCCATCAGGTGATCCAGAAAGAGAATACAACTGCTGACCATAACCTTGTAACTGGGGTTGAAATGAGTTGCCGAAAGGTGTTTGTGGTATAACAAGGTTGTTTATCACCAGAGCACCTCCATTTTGGTTAGAAGCAGTATACTGATAAGCATGATGCGATGGAGACAAAGGAATTCCCTGACCATTCCATTGAAGAGATTGAGGACTATTTGCCCAGGTCATTACCGGCTGCAGAGGCAGAAAAGCTGCTTGACGGCTAGCAGCTGGATGGATCAACTCAGTGTTGAGTCCAGCAGATATGAACAATGTCCCAATTTCGGATGCACTTGGGACAACAGCTCTAAATGGTGATCCGAAAAGTGTATACTCCCGACTGTAACCTTGGAAATAGGGTGGAATTGAGCTGCTGAAAGATGTTTGTGGCATAACTCCGTTGTTTATCATCAGAGCACCTCCATTTGGGTTAGAAGCAGGATTCTGATAAGTATGCTGAGGTGAAACTGGCAAACCAGTTCCCTGACCATGCAACTGAACGCATTCAAGATAATTTTCCCGGATCAACTCCTTGCTAGGATGCTGGTCCCTCCCAGTAGAATCACTCAAACCCCTCAAAGGTGGAGATGCAATGGCAGTTTCCATGAATTGATCATTCTTTGATAGGACAGATTTGGGAGAGTTTCCTTCCTTACTTCTTTTTTGCTCATTCCTTTTTGTTAATGCGGAGATGGCATGATTGAAAGTAAAAATTGTAGGATTCCCCACAGCTGCTGCACGATCCTGATGAGATTCAGACACTTCCTTCTTCAATGCAGATGAACCAACTTGTTGACTTGAAGCTTCTGCTGCATGATTCTGATGAGATTCAGACACTTCGTTCTTCGATGCAGGTGAACCAACTTGTAGACTTGAAGCTTCTGCTAGCACCCTCCCAGAGTTTGCTCTTGTTTCCTGAGACTTCCAAGCTCTGATGACAAGTTAAAGCAAACAAGTCAATGAATTTTAACATCAAGAGAGAACAACTCGGACTGAAACCATTAACTTACTTCTTATTCTCCTCTGATGGATATCTACTGTAACGTATGGCGAGTGGATACTTTACGGGCCCTCTCCCTTTCACAATTCTTGATGAATCCTGATTGTTGTGGTATTCAAGGAAAGGGTTTGCATCAGACGTTGTCTTCATTATTCTTCACAGTAACAATAAATGTAAATGATAAGTAGCATTAGCTGCAAAACCAATCATAGGAAAATGTTCATATCCTCCAACCACACCGTCGAAATAGTTGTAAAAAATGAGAAACAAAGCACATGAGTCCGACATGGTCCATGACCTTCTTGTCATTAGATGCCTGTATCTGTTCGAACTTGTCATGCTGCCATTTTCCTTCGTCGAGGGGTTCAATCAATCTTCCCGCCACATAGTTTTGCCTGAACGTATAGGACTCTGGTTAATAACAGGTTCAACCGCAAGAGAACGAAGAGAACAAGGCTAAATAATTGTCCGTCCTACATGTCACTAGTTCCATTCAATTCTGAATGAATCAACAGGATTCACAACACATGAAACGCCACTAGCTGCATTCTAATGGATGCATTACTGTTGGTTTGACACTTGACTTGAACAGAAATATAGAATACAAGCAAAGAACACAAACATCCCACTACAAACTCCAAAATTAGGAGACTAGAGGATAAATGAGCTGCTAAGCAGCTGAATGGACACATTTCTGCTTACATGCCAGCTTTCTACCTTCAGTTACTCTAGAAACTCCATGTGAGCTACCACAGAGGAACTTCTAAATGTGAAACGCAGACGAGATCTACTGGAACTGTCCATATCCCAGCTAGATTTTGAAAACGTATATTAGCAATCAAGCAAAGAATCGCGGCGTTTCCGAATGCCACAAACAACTCTATTCTAACACTAGTTCGAGCTCTGGCAGATCAAATTCGGTATAATCTGTTCAAAAAGCATCGGCGCGAAGATTCAAATTCGAGAGTGAAGAGCGGAAAATATAACATTACCGGCCTCGACCTCGACGGTCAGTTCGATCGTCGTGCATATAGAACGCGCCACGCCTAGGAACTGCAACGACTTGTTTCCCCTTCGGCTCCTTGTCCTCCTCGCCTTGACTGCTCATCCGTTTCTCCGCCGCTACCTCTTCTCCTCCTCCTCTTCCTTGTTCGTCGTCTTCTCCATCTCCGAAGTCATGCTCATCGAAGTAGTACGGCGACACCTCATCCTCCGGCGGCGGCGCTCCTCCTCCCAGACCGACCGAATCATCGCCAAACGCAGCACCTGCTGAACTCACGCTCTCATCACCGTCACTCGATTCTCTCCTCCGCCTAACGCAGCGCCACTTCAGATCTTCCTCATCGCTCCCGTCGCCATCCTCGCCGGCTCGCTCTTCCGCTCGCCCTCTCTCGCTCACCATTTCGGATATCGGAACTTTCTAGTAACGAGCTAACCCTAATTTCTCCGATGAGTGAGCAGAGCAATTCGCAAGAACCATTTCTCTCTCAAACGAACCAAGCGTCTGAACTCTCACAACTCTGAACAGCGGTCCTTGCTGCGATGCTTTCTTTTAAACTTTTCTTGTCTTTGAGTTTTTATATCCCTAGTTGAGTAGAGTGGGAAGGGGAGCTCTTTGCAGGGGTTGATTTTGTTTTCACGTTTCATTTGTGTTCTGTGGCTCTGCAGAAAATCGTCTGAGCTTCTGAGCGCGAAGCTAGATTTTCTCTTCTCTATTTTTTTTATGGGACTCTTCTCTATTTTTTTGTTTTGTCGTGTTGCTGCCAAGCTCAGCGCCGAAAAGTGTAAGGAGCCAATCACAATCGCGGGATTTTGCAGTGACCTCTTCTCCTTTTTCTAACCTTTTCTCGGAAAAAATCCAAAACTACCACTGTTTTAAAAAAAAATTACAAAAATACCACCCACTCCATAAAATTTCCAAAAATACCACCCTTAATTTAAAACCGCCCTTCTAAGGAGCGGTTTACATAAAAACCGCGCCCCCAGGCGGCGGTTAAACCTAAAAACGCGCCCCCAAGGCGCGGTTTGACCATGCATGGCTGTCAAACCGCTTTGCCAGGTGGCGGTGCATCAAACCGCTCGTCCGAGGAGCGATCTGACGGCTAAAATGTCTGCCAAGTAAGCGATCCGCGTCGCCCCACATAAACCGCTCCCCCGAGGCGCGGTTTGACCGTTGGAAAAAGCAAACCGCCCTCCCGAGGCGCGGTTTGACTATCGGGAAAAGGAAACCGCGTGCTGGGGGCGCGGTTTTTGGTTGCGGGAATTTACCAAACCGACCCTCCCCCAGGCGGTTTGAAAGCTATATAAACCCCCCCCCACCCCCTCATTTCTGCACACCATCCACCACACTCCCCTCTCTCCCTCTAATTTCTCTCCACCCAACCCCTCCCCACACAACCTTAGAATTAGTTTTTTTGTTGGTTGCGGCCTAAGTCCGATCTGCCTCCAAAAAACTTTTCTTTGGTTTTCACTAAAAAACCGTCGAACCTCTGTCCGGATTCCGAGAGAATGGCCGATTTCGCTCAAGAAGAGGGTCTTTTTTATGATGATTATCAAACGGTACGAACTCATTTTTCCCAATTGTTGTTGTTGTTATAATGACTTATTTAATTTATATACTAATGATTTATGTTATTGTTATGCTATCGTAGGTTGGGCCGGATGTTGATATTTTCAATCAACGATATTACGTTGATCAAGGACCGATCGATCCGACAGTTTTATACGATCAAGCAAATCATCGTTCAAGAGACGTTTGGAACGACCATAAGGTACATATTATTTATCATCACTTGTAATTTGTATTTTGTTAAAGTAATTTATTTGTTGTACAATAATTTACATAATTGTTAATCGTATTGATTATTTTCAATAGTTTAAATCAATACAATACAACACTTATTGAGACTCTTTATAAAGAAATGCATGTCTAAGGAAATGGGGACTTAAGCGATCATCATGATCCCCCCATGACCTGGGAAAATCGGGTTCTAAGCGATCCTCGGATCCCCCCTTTTTCTGTCAAAAAGACTGTGTTTCTAAGGAGATGTATACCTCTCCTAAGAGTCTTACGAGTGTACTTGTATTGCTTTAAATTATTGAAAATAATCAATACGATTAACAAAATAATTTTTATGTTAGTAACTTGTATATATTCTATTAATGTTTATTAGATAATTTTTATGTTAGTAACTTGTAAACGAACATCTCCGCTTGCTTAATTGTATTGGTGGTCAAAAATTGGACCATGGCATCAACGTCCTCCTGAGTGTTAAGGAGGAATTCCTCATGCCACAGGGACCCGTGATGTCTGTTTGGATATCGATACACCATTCGATCAACTCTTCTACTGCCATCCATGCAGGTAATCTGAGTGCACTGACGGTGGAGCTCTTCAAGCATCGGTCTCGTACGGACCTTCATTTTATGAAAATTGCCACCGACGTAACTTACACCCTTTTCGGTCTCTTCCGTGTAACCATTCCACCGCAACCCAAGCGTGAACCTTTGGAATGCCATCTGCAATGAAAAGTAACACAAGTTACTAACATAACAACACAAAGAAAAATGAAAAGTAATTCAAATTACTAACATAAAATCACAAATGACAATGAAAAGTAACACAAGTTACTAACATAAAAATTATTTTGTTAATCGTATTGATTATTTTCAATAATTTAAAGCAATACAAGTACACTCGTAAGACTCTTAGGAGAGGTATACATCTCCTTAGAAACACAGTCTTTTTGACAGAAAAAGGGGGGATCCGAGGATCGCTTAGAACCCGATTTTCCCAGGTCATGGGGGGATCATGATGATCGCTTAAGTCCCCATTTCCTTAGACATGCATTTCTTTATAAAGAGTCTCAATAAGTGTTGTATTGTATTGATTTAAACTATTGAAAATAATCAATACGATTAACAATTATGTAAATTATTGTACAACAAATATACATTATCTAATAAACAAAGGACAATGAAAAGTAATTCAAATTACTAACATAAAATCACAAATGACAATGAAAAGTAATTAAGTTACTAACATAACATCATAAAGGACAATCAAACGTAATTAAGTTACTAACATAAAATCACAAAGACAATGAAAAGTAATTACGAAACAAACTTACGAATTAACGTTAATCGCAAAAACTAAATAATTTAAAGGTGCAAAGCTGAAATTTGAGGATTTTTGTGTGAATTGAGGAAGGAAGTGTGAAGAATTGTGTTCTCCGAAACAGCCTTTTATAGGCAAATTTTGCACCAAAACCGCTTGGGGGGGGGAGCGGTTTTGGGTCTGCCATGCAGCCCTACCCCTGCATGCCGACATGTCGGATGTCGGGTGACCAGGCACAAACCGCGCCCCAGGGGAGCGGTTTGTGTCCTGACAATGTAAACCGCCCCTTCCCCAGGCGGTTTGCATGCCGACAATAAACCGCTCCCCCTACCAGCGTTTTCTGGTAGGGTTTACCCTATAACCGCGCCTCGCACAAGCGGTTTAGTCCAGGAAATGAAAACGCTCCTCCGAGGAGCGGTTAGAATGAAAAACGCCTCTTAGAGGCGCGGTTTCATTGAAAACCGCTCTACAGGGGGGCGGTTTTAAATTAAGGGTGGTATTTTTGGAAATTCTTTGGAGCGAGTGGTATTTTTGTAATTTTTTTTTTAAACAGTGGTAGTTTTGGATTTTTCCCCCTTTTCTCCCGCTTTCAACTTCGTTGATCGTTTGCCACGTCAATATTCTTTATTCTCACCAAACACAATTTTCAGTATCCTTTAACATACGGGTTAAAGACACATTTGGTCACTGAGATTACAAAATCGGAACATGTTTAGTCACTAGAAAAAGTTAATATCAAATTTGGTCACTACAATTACTAAAACTGGACGCATTTAGTCACTCGCCGTTAGTCTCCGTCCAACTCCGTTAATAAAGTCCGTTAAATGCTGATGTGGCAAACAGAATTGCCTAATTAGCCGGATATAACCCAACAAAAATAAAACCCGACCCGCCACGTCTCCCCTTTGCACGTGACATAGTCCTTCCACACGTGACCCTTTCCTTTCCCTTCTTTTCTTTTATTTTCCCCACAGTCGTCCTCGAGTCCCACTTCACACAGAGAGTCCACCCTCGGCTCCAAATCTCTCCCTGTAACTCTGTAAAATCTCTTATCCAGATCCATCCATTTCTCAAACAATCTCCATTGATGCCTCGCCCACCTCCTCCATTCCCCTTCCTCCTCCTTCTCATTCTATCTACCGCCGCCGCGGCAGCAGCATCTCACTCCTGCAACTCCCAACATTCTACTCCCTGCCCGCCATTCCCGTCGCCGCCGCCGTACCAATTCTCCTCCTCCCCTGGCTGCGGCCACCCCGCCTTCACTCTCAAATGCGCTTCCCCTCACTCCATCCTCTCCCTCGCAAACACCTCCTTCTCCGTCCTAGCCTTCCGCCCTAATTCCTCTTCCCTTTCCCTCTCCCCTCGTCTCCTTCTCCTCTGCCATAACTGTTCCGCCTCCCTCCATCCATCCACTTCTTTGGCTCCCCTTTCCGCCTCGCCGACTCCTCCTGCTCTCGCCTTTCCGCCCTCCGCTCTTGCTCCCCTCCCATCCTCCCCAATTGCTCTCTCTGCCCTTCCGACTGCTCCCTCGTCAAAACCCCTCTCCGCCTCCTCCCCGCCTGCTCTTCCCCCCCTCTCCGCCACCCATCACAGCAGGGCTGCCAGTCCGACGTCCTCGACTATCTCCTTCACTTCCTCCAGATTGGGTTCGAGGTCGAGTACGACGAGGGCGACGAGTATTTCTCCAGCTGTAAACTCTGTCGATCTGGGAATGGGGTTTGTGGGTTTAACTCCTCCGATCCGGAGAAGAAGTTTATTTGCTTCCGCTCCGCCGCCCGGATTTCGCAATGGATTCGCGACGAGGATACGAATCGGATTGCGATCCTCTGCTCTATTTTCATGATGATGTGTTTGCTTCTCGTGGTTTTGATTGTGGCGGCGGTTTTCAGGTCCAAGCACTTGAAGGCGCTTGTTGCGGAGGAGGATCCGACGACGACGTTCCTCCACCGTCACCGCTCTGCTAGCTTGCTCCCTCCGGTGTTCACCTACGAGGAGCTGGAAGCGTCGACGAATCGGTTTGACCCGAAGAGGAAGATTGGGGACGGTGGGTTCGGGTCGGTTTACTTGGGGCAGCTATTCGAAGGGAGGATTGTTGCTGTGAAGTATCTCCATAAGCAGCACCACCACGCCACCGCCTTCTCCGCCAAGTCATTTTGTAACGAAATCTTGATTCTGGTTTGCTGCCTGGTTTGCTCTGTGCTTTCCTTGGTCTTGCATTTCTCTCTGATGCAATTGTGAACATTTGGGGGATTCTTTGTGAACGTCAATGGCCTCGTTGGTGAAGGATTGGTCTGCTGTGTTAGGTCGAACAGGTTTGCGGGAGGAGGTGGAAGGAAGGAGGAGAGCGGCGGCGGCGGTGGTTTTGGGGAAAGAAGGAGGTGGGAGGTGCCGAGGTGGGAGGAAGGAGGAAGAAGGGTTGGGTGGGGCTGGGTCATGGGTTGGGTTGGGTTCGTTTTAATGACGTGGCGGGTTATAATGACGTGGCAGGTCGGGTTTTATTTTTGTTGGGTTATATCCGGCTGATTAGGCAATTCTGTTTGCCACATCAGCACTTAACGGACTTCATTAACGGAGTTGGACGGAGACTAACGGCGAGTGACTAAATGTGTCCAGTTTTAGTAATTGTAGTGACCAAATTTGATATTAACTTTTTCTAGTGACTAAACATGTCCCGATTTTGTAATTTCAGTGACCAAATGTGTCTTTAACCCTTTAACATACCACATTTCTAGACTTGCCTTGTGGCATGGTTCACAACTCTTGACTAATTGCGGTTGCAGGTCTTGCCCTAGCTACCTAACCAAGAAAAAGTAATCCAGAACCCCGTTTTGAACGGCTTCCGGCAACAGTGAACATGAATTAACAATATTCAAATCCTCAATTCAGCAAGCCAATAAAAACCCACGAAACACATGGCTCTACGCCACAGCCGTAACCTCTGTTCCTATAGCGCCGCCAGCGGCAGTACCAACAAAAGCAACATCCAATACTCTCCTAAGATCAATCTTCACCGTAACCAAACTTACAGGCCATGCAGAATCCTTCTAGTATCTGGTGAAGGCAGCGAGGAGATCCCTTTCACGACTTGCAGAGCTCTGTGCGAACTTATTTCCCACCACAGGTGGCTGGCCATCCTGCTTCTTTAGCAGATTCGTGTAAAAATTGGGGTTTCTTCCAATAGCCAAAGTTAAGTTTGGCTTTCGGTTTATCTCTTGCACTAATTCTTGCTTAACTTTACACCTTTATTTTGCTTAACTTTTTCCTAGGGATTTCTTAGGGACAAATTGGGTTAGATTGCCCATGCAACCATGCTTTGTAGTTTTTTCTCTGTCTGGGTATGTTACCCAATATGTTTAAATTCAAGGTTGCATGATCCAATACTCTGAGCGCCACCACAAGCCACCCCCAAGTTTCGTGATCTGGCATGGCCTGCATCAGCTTCTACCTCTTCAGCTTCTGGTGGCATGACGTCAACCAGCTGGTTTTTTATCCTTATCTCGAATAAGCTTCAGAATTGCAGACTGGTGGCGTGAGCCATGAGGGGTACTGTGCAGAGGCCGCGTGGCAGTTAGTGTGCACGTAGGATTGTTATGCGGTAAGGCCAACCGGCCAAGAGGTGAGAATTGTTAATAATATATCACTCATTTCCAAAAAAACTAAAAAAACTATCCCTCATGGTTTGATGATTAATTGGATAACTCCTGCTACTATATTATTAGTTTAATAGTTTATTAATATTTTGTTGTGATGTGACCTTGTGAATAGCGACACATGTAAGCTTTATGTATTTGGGCTGAAGGGTCATCGACTTGGCCTTTTTCTACTTCCCCACTAGTTGGGCCAAATGGTTAAAACAATGAAGCTACTTTTCGGGTAGACTTTGTATTTGTTTGTTGGTTTTGCAGGTAAAGCTACTCATAGGGACTTACAACGCTGTGTTGCTGTTACGGTTTCATCTTCGATACCATGCAGAAAGGGGTGCTATACTGGGATTGGACTTGTTTGTTATTTTTGTATGTTGCTTTTGGCATTGTTATCCTCGCATCAATATGGGTTCGTTGCTCTGCTTCCCGTTTCAATGGGCGCGATTCATTACTTCTTCTCTGCAAAAAGTGATGCTGCACATTTTGCATTTAGTATGCGACTGCTCGAATTGGTGGTCAAGGATGCTCCCTAGAGCTTGTGCTATTAGGGACCATTTTGATGTGATCCAATTTGGGTCAACCAACAAGTTTGAATTGCTTAATCGAAAAGTAATCTCAAACACTAACAAGAACTATGATTTTTGTCTAAGTGTTGTAAGTGTTTCAGGTACCCTTCTTTGAAGATTTTTCCAAAAATAGCACTGTTTAAATAAAAAATTCCAAAAATAGCACCCAACTCCGAAAAATTCCAAAAATAGCACCCTTTTTGTAAAACCGCCACCCGGAGGTGCATTTTTCGATGAAAACGCCACCCGAGGGTGCGTTTTTCGATTAAAACCGCACTGGTAGGGAGCGGTTTTGCAGACCGCAGCCCCAGGGTGCGTTTTGGTTGCAAACCGCACCCACAAGGTGCGTTCTGCCTTTTTTTTTTTAAAAAAAAATCCTAACTTAGGTGGAAACTTCAAACGAACGTATCTTTATGTTCGGGTATCCGATCGTCGCGATTTTTTTTTTTTATTCCGCATAACTGTTTGAGATCTTGCAAGCCGAAGACTGACAAAGGTGGTTTGGTCTCGCCTTCGTCCCAAAAAATGTCGTTTGCTTACCCTGAACGAACTTTTTTCCGATTTCGTCAAACTTTGGACAACCATAACTTTGTGCTCCGAAATCCAAACGGCATGAATTTTTTTTTTATTTCGCATAAATTTTTAAGGAATACAACTTTTAACATAGACATAATTTCAAAATGTACGTGGATTGCTGAGAAGGGAAGATAAGCTATTCCCAAAATCCTGTATATCCAAAAATAATTCCTGTTTTGAAAATACATTCCTAGTAAAAATTGTAGTCCTTAAAAAGTTATGCGAAATAAAAAAAAAATCATGCCGTTTGGATTTGGAGCACAAAGTTACGGTTGTCCAAAGTTTGACGAAATCGGAAAAAAGCTCGTTCGGGGTAGCAAACGAAATTTTTTGGTACGAAGGCGAGACCAAACCACCTTTGGCAGTCTTCGGCTTGCAAGATCTCAAAAAGTTATGCGAAATCAAAAAACAAATCGCGACGATCGGATACCCGAACATAAAGATACGTTCGTTTGAAGTTTCCACCTAAGTTAGGATTTTTCAAAAAAAAAAAAAAAAAGGCAAAACGCACCCTGGGGGTGCGGTCTGCAAAACCGCCCCCTACAAGTGCGGTTTTCATCGAAAAACGCGCCCCCGGTGGCGGTTTTCGCCTAAACCGCTGGTACGGGTGGCGGTTTTGCAAAAAAGGTGCTATTTTTGGAATTTTTCGGAGTTGGGTGCTATTTTTGGAATTTTTTTTTTAAACAGTGCTATTTCTGGAAAAATCTCCCCTTCTTTGCACGTATGCAACTTGTGTTTGGCTCAACGAAAAAGGGCGAATGAAGGCTTGTTGTGAAGCTGGGAAGTTTCTCTATAAGAAGAAATGGTTGGGAGCTCAAGAAGAGTCCAGGAAGACTGATTTCAAGCTTCTCAAAACCCTACGTTGAAACTGGAAAACTATCAGATTTTCACCAAGTCTGGAAGGCAGCGTGGGTACCAACTTTTGGAGCTTGGTTCGAGGGGTTTGGAGGGGAATCGAGTTCCAAGTAGAGGTGTCAATCGGGCGGGTTCGGGTTGGGTTCATTCGGGTTGCGGGTTGGTCGGGTTGCGGGTTGATCGGGTTGCGGGTTCATCGGGTTGCGGGTTGATCAGGTTGCGGGTTGATCGGGTTGCGGGTCAATCGGGCTGCGGGTCAATCGGGTTGCGGGCCAATCGGGTTATGGGTCAATCGGGTGCGGGTCAATCGGGTTGCAGGTCGGGCGGTTCGGGTTGCGGGTTTTACCACTAAAAAAAGAGGTGGTTTAGGTAGGATTTTCGCTGCCATATTCCGATCTTAAGCAAACTATTAGGGTTTTAAATTATTTGGATGAGTTTGAATTGATATTTACAAAATCAAATTATATGAGTTAAGTGATTAAAATGATTAACTAAAAAAAATGTATAGCTTAATAGCTGTCAAGTTTAACTTTCCATTTATGGAGTGGCAAGCAAGCGGCAAGCAGGTAGATGACTAGATGGGAAGTTCAAAATTTAGGGTGCAAAAATTGAAAATGGCCGCCAATCCAAAAGCTAAATGGGAAGTTCAAAATTTAGGCTGAAAAGTTAAAAGGCCCGCCACTCCAAGAGACAAAAATGAGATTAGTGATTATCAATGGTTCCACTTTTAAATATAGGGTTGGTTTGGATGGATCAATCAAGAAATGAATCAATTTGATCAATTGTCTCATTTCATAAATGAGGTAAATAAAACGAGTCAATTCGAATTATTTGCCCCCACCCCTAGCAAATTGAAATTGACTCAAAACGAATCAATTTAAAATACCTCAGGCAGATTGATCCATCCAAATTTTTTGCAGGCAAACGAGGCAATTTGGAAAAAATGTTGTGAGTTCAATTGTAACTTTACTCGATAACATATAATCTAAACTCTAGATAGTCTTTACCCTGAACCCCAAATGATTTTATTCATGAACATGTGTTAATAAATAACTTGATCCTTATTATTTACGATTTTGACTAATCTTGTTTAATACATTAACCCTAACCCATTACCCTAACCATATACCCTATACGTCGACTCTATATCATATACCCTAAACCCCTAATGGTTTGATTCATGAACATATATGAATAAGAAAACTTGATCTGTTATGATTTTGACTCATCGTGGCCAAACCATTAATACCTTATACTCTAACCATATACCCTACAAGTCGACTCTATAACCTATACCCTAAACCCCTACTGGTTTGATTCATGAACATATGTTAATAAGAAAACTTGATCTTATTAGTTATTATTTTGACTAATTGTGGCCAAACCATAAATACCTTATACCCTAACCATATACCCTACAAGTCGACTCTATAACCTATACCCTAAACCCTACTGGTTTGATTCATGAACATATGTTAATAAGAAAAGTTGATCTTATTAATTATGATTTTGACTAACCGTGGTCAAACCATTAAGACCTTATACCCTAACCATATACCCTATAAGTCGATCGTTATTAGTTATAACTTATAAGTTA